AATGGCAAAAAGAAGGGAAAATTCAAAAGGTGGGGTTGAGATGGGAAGTTGGTGTCCGTGGGTTCGAATCCCGCTAATGACATTGACTTATTGATCTCAACTAAAAACCTTAATTAATTGAAATGAAACAAAGTTCTCGCGAGGTGGAAGGTGCCAATTCCCCTTAATATACATATGGGATCGGAAGTTAGCTCAACCTTGGGTCCAGTCACATGAATGGATTTATATATTCGATAAATGAATTTTTGTTTTAAAATCAATTTTTAAAAACAAGAGGTTTTATTTTTCTTAAAGACCGCGGGCAAGGTTTTTTATTAAAATGTTTAAAAACATTAAATTTTTAATTGATTAATCTTTTTATGAGAGATTTTTGGTTGAAATGAAAACGTTATTGCCACGGACGGGTTTCGAACCCACGACCTTCGACTAAATACCCCGGTGCTCTTCTAACACATGAGCTATATATGGTAGAGCAGCGGCGTATTTAGCCGAAGTTCGTGGGTTCGAATTCCGCTCGTGGCAATAACTTTTTCATTTCAACCAAAAACCGTACATAAAAAGAATAATTAATTGAAAGAAGTAATTTGGTCAATAGAATATAATGGATTAAATTTTTAATTTAATTACAGACAATACCATCGATGCACATGGATAAATTATTGTAAACACTTAATGGCTATTTATGGTGTATAATTTCATGAAATGGACAGACTGACAATAGTTTTTTTTCTGTCTGTTTCTTTTTAAATTTATATTTAATTTATGCAAAAACAAACGGTTTTCTATAATATCTATGTTAGCCTAACCCTACGTAAACTGCATATGCTGAAAGTATTATCCCAACTTTCCTTGTGTGGTACAACAGGGATTATTCTCGATCAAAGCTTTAAGCTGTTCGACGTCGGCTTTACTAAAAGTTGTTTCGACTCAGGAGAAAAATCTTTTCCCCGGGCAACTTCTAAAATCCCCATTTACAAATCGGCATAACTAACTTTTGTCTATATTAAACAAAACAGTTGTACTTTATTATAAAAACGAATTTAAACAAACTCAGCCTTGTGAAATAAATGAGTGGTTTTAGTTTCTGAAATATCGATGGGTGTGCAACCGTAGAGAAAATTTCGATATTTTTACTCATATTTTTATAGATAGAATTACTTATTTATTTGAAGATAATTAAAATATTAATATTAAAGAAATTAAACTACTACAGTGGTTCTAAGATGCTTAGTCATAATGCAAAATTTTCACATAGATTTCGTAAACAAGCTGAATAATTAGATAATGAACCAAAACATTTCAAATAAAATTGTTCATATACAATTTTGTTTTTAAATTAGCATTTATCCTCGCTCGGAGAATGCTGAACATCTCGTATTTCACATAATTTAACTCGGAGTTCAACAGGAAGATTATTAAAAAAATATAAATCTTTAAGGAACGGAAATGGATGTTATAAAAATAGATTAATTTATTACACTGTGTTCTTCAAAGATTTATACGATTTTTATCGATTCTCCCGAACGGGCCTCCATTATACATGAACTTTACCACTCTCAACTTGACGTGCCCTTAACCAATCAGAGACGAATAGAAAGATCAAAAACATTCTTCCAATATATCTTTCCTGTACATTGAAATCATTGTTCACTGAAAGACACAAGAAAGACTTACTTCGATATGAGTTTAAAGTGTAGTCTGATAAGTTGATTATATTTCTGTTCACTTGCTCTTAACTACGTAGTAACTTATTCCATAAAAAAGTAGATACATTTTTAACTGGAAGGTAATGAATACGATTTATGTAGATAATTTGTAATATATAGTATGATAGATATAAATATATGAAAACATAAATCGTATTCATTAGCTCAAAAAAACTAAAAATGTGAACGTAGACTAAAAAAATGTTAAAGTTTTTTTTCCATAGTGTCATTGGTTTAAGAGCAAAATCAGCCCGGCCACATAAAAAAGATACCCTGTATATATATTATTTTTTCTGTTTTGTGAAAAAAAATGTTCTTGGAAAAAATCTATAAAAATATATGTATACAGGGTATCTTTTTTTAGATGGCCCGGCTGATTTTGCTCTTTCTTAAACCAATGACGCTATGGGAAAAAACGTGTTTAACATTTTTTAGTCTAGGTTCAAATTTATACCTTTTTTGGGGGAAAATTGAACAGGGTACCTCATCCCCAGTTCAATTTCAAAATTTCAAATAGGACCCGGCATCCTGACAAATCATTTTGAAGTATTTGTTACGCAGAAAACTATGGCGCAATCGGATTTTAAATGGGACAAAAAATGACGAAGCTATGGCAAAAAGAAATCGGCAGCGAAATTTCGTCGAGATGCTGAATATATTAATGTATGTTCGCGAAAATTCGAATTCCTCTTTCCGAAATTTTAGAAGGCTTTTAGATTATGGAAAAAAATTCGTACTTTTTTCATCATCAGGTGGTTCACAGTATGATCGTTTGATGTGGACTTCTCGGAAATTAATTAATGGGGCTTTATTTCTACGAAATGTAAATAGTGCTCAGTTCGTCAATTTTTTGGCGGTAGCCGAGTGGTTAGCATGAGAGACTCTCACGCCGCGGTCGTGGGTTCGATTCCCACCGTCGCCTCTGGCCCTTTTTTCCCGATAACCCCCAATTTGAACACACAAGAATTCGTACTATGGCTAATATGCAAGATCATAAGGCCAATAAAAAAAATCTTATTTCCACGAATTTTAAATCGTGTTCAGTTCCTCAATTTTTTAAGGGAAGTTGTACCAACACTATTAGATGATGTTCCTCTGCATCAATGATAAAGAATGATTCTCCAGCTTGATCGATGCACCGTACACATTTTTTTGCAGGTGAGAGGTTGTCTGAATCGTTACATCCGAGATAATAAATTTTTAGTTAATGTAACTGAAATTATAAAATGGATGAGAACCAGAGGGACCAACCTCGCCACCTGAGATTTAAATTGTAATTTTTAGTTATCTGATAGGTTTTGTTCGTTATGTATTTTGTTCAAGGTTCAATGTTTAATTAGAGAAAAGTATCATAATATGATTTTATTTTAACATTATAGAATGAAATTTTGCGAGTAAAATGTGGGATGCTAGCATGATTAATGATGATTCTGGGCTGTTAGCATCTCAGTTTAAGATATAATAAAGCATAAATATGTTTAAGATATTATTTATTGAGACAATTCATAAAAAAGATTCTGCCTGTCTTAAATCACAAAAGACGTCCTCTAGAAACAGAAAATAATAATAAAATATATTTGTAAATTTGTTTTGATTTAATTTTTGAAGCGTTTTAGAAACAAGCTACAAACACGTTTAAAGTAGTATGGTAACTTTTGTCATTGAGGATGGCTTAACGCATTGGGTGTCGTGGAAGAGAGGGTCAAACCAATTTATTAAAATTTTTCATGCCATTATCAATTTAAAAGAAATGGGTTTTGCCCGGAACCGATAACGTGGCAAATATGCGTTTGACGCCCTTATCATCAACTGCGGTACATTTAAGTACGATTATAGGCTGAAATATGAATCCCCTAGATCTAGTGATTATGAAAACTGCTGAATGCAAAAAAAAAGGTTGTTTTTATTAATTTGTTTACAATAACATTGCAATAATATATTACTTGTTCTGAAAATCATACATTCCCCCTCTTTATAAGTGTTCAATAAAAAATGACTCCCCTTTTTGTATTTTGTTATACTATGATACTTATTATAACAAGTTGAAAGAGCCTACCGGGCATGAGGGTAAACTGCGTCCACATACATAACACACCTATACACCTACACTGACATAAGTACATTTACATTATATATACCGTAGGGCTACCGTCCCTAGGATGGTTCTTGAGACGAACTCAAAGTCTCACGTCCTGGGATTGGCGAGCCAGTACGGACATAACTCCGCCAAACCTAACACTTGGTGGAGTGAGGGCGGGAGACTTGGACGGTGTTCGGTCTTCCGTCAGCATGTCACCACCAACACACAGGCCGATGCACGCGGCCAAGGGCCTCGGAACCCGAAGAAAACAAACGCAAATCACCGTGCACATCACACCACACCAACAACCCGGGCCGCGAGGTAGTACAGGGACCCGAACCCCGGAATAGCCACCGGGGAGGCTGTCCTATCACCTCGTGTATAAGGGCACGATGCCTAGTACTGCCAGCTGGCGACTGGATGGTTACCGTGCTGGGCATCGCGGCGGGCGCTCTCGAGGCCACACGGTTTGTGGGGCGCGTGGGGTATCGCTCGAGCGGGCCGGGGACCGACCCCAAAGGCTGAGAACTGTACACACATGTCACAATACATCCTTACAGACAAAACACAATAAATGATGAAAATGAAAAAGAAAGAAAATAATCTAGGAGTAAAAGTGCCTACTCCGCCTAACCCGGGCCCGACCAGCCCGACAACACCCCCTCCTATCCCAACACCACCACCTCTCCCAACTCCTTTCTCAATCCCACCGAAGGATTTGCTTCCCTCTACTTCCCAGACCCACGCCCCCCCATCCACTGCAAACCCTTCAACCACCTCTCCTCAACCATCCACTCCTTCTCATACGTTGGAGGATGAAGGCTTCGTTCCTGTTGCTGGGAAAGAAAAAGAATTCCCACCAACTCGCCAAAGAGTGCAACAAGAACAGAGAATGTACCTGTGTCTCCTTTGACACCGGCACAAAAAAAGAGAAAAGAAGTAATAGTAGAGAAGAAGGAAAAGAAAGAAAAGAAAAAGAATTCGCGAAATGGTGCCTCGTCGCTGGGTCTCGGGAACATGGGAATTACTCCTCTCGCTGAGGCATACCAGAGAGGTACTATAATGTAGCAAGGAAAGAGGGAGATTTTAAATCCACATGCCCTTTCCATCTACACAAGGAAATAAAGAAGATAGGGAAAACAAACTCTATCACAAAAAGTAGAGATGGAAAAATATGCATAGGAGTGACTGGGAAAGAAATCGAGGCAAAACTGATGTCATTAAAGGCGCTTGCTGGACATGAGGTCGAGGTTACCCCTCATCAAAGGTTGAACACCTCTAGAGGGGTAGTAGTATGCCGTGACCTCATGAATAGCAGCGTCGATGACATCAAAGAAGGCCTAGAGGACCAGGGTGTTTTGGAGGTGAGGAGGATGAACATTCGCCGGAACAGACAAATTGTCCCTTCCGCGAGTCTAATCCTCACTTTCAACGCCCCGCGATGCCCAGACGAAATAAGAGCAGCGTTCTACAAATTGAAAGTCCGCCCTTATATCCCACATCCGCAAAGGTGCTATCGTTGCCAGAAATTTGTTCATATCTCCCTGCGATGTAAATCCGCGCAGGAAGTGTGTGAGTGTGGGAGGGAAGAACACCCAAAAGAATCTGCGTGCTCAGACCCTCCCACTTGCGTGAACTGCGGGGGATGCCACACGGCTCGATCCGCCAGCTGCCCCGTCCTCTCGAAAGAACGAGAGGTACAGAAATTAAAAACAATAGATAAAATGAGCTTTCGTGAGGCCAGGGCAGTGGTCGAAAGTAAGGGCTTTGAGGGAAATATGCCCAAGCAGTAGCTCGTCCCGCTCCTGGGCCGTGCGTCCTGGAGCAAACCCTGGCGGCTGATCCTCAGAGAGGAGAAGTCGCCAAAGCCCTTGGCCCCCCCAGCAACATCCTCTTCCCAAATGTCCCCGGCACGGGGAGTCGAGGCTGTTCGTGGGAGGCAGCCCGACAAGCCAGGGGCGAACATGCCCCCACCAAAGCTGCCGCCTTCCTTGGCGGTAGCTTCAATTTCAACAGGTCCGTCCGGCCATGATTGGGTGACGGACATAGCAGTGACGTCTGGTGTCAGATACTTCTTCAGCAGCCACTGATGCTCCGGCAAGGAGGAAAAAGGGGTGGCAGAAGGGTCGAACCAGACCGAACATGAGAAAGAAAAAAGGAAGCGAATAATGGAGTCCATTCAGCAATGGAACTAACTGCTGAGGTATAAATAGCAAAAGACAAATGCTGCAGTTAATGTACCGATGGCGATACTCCTACAAGAAACCCGAATCCGCCCAGAGGCGCGCCTCGAACTGACGGGGTACAAAACATTCTCTAGAGAGGTGCAGCCGGATCCGGGCGGTAGGGCGCATGGAGGAGTGGCCATCTTAATAAGAGAAAACGTACCGGTACATGAGGTGAGGATAAACACGGAAATACAGGCGATCGCAGCGAGGATAGCGGCGCCAATGAACTTCATTCTGTGTTCCGTCAATCTTCCTCCAGATGGACCGTGGCACAGCAGTGAGGTCACTGACTAATCGAGCAGCTCCCCCACCACTTCTGGTGTTGGGTGATTTTAACTCACACAATACATGGTGGGGATCGATGCGATCAGACGCTAGGGGCAGATAGATGGCAACCTAATAGGGGAGTCTGACCTGGTCTTCTTAAACACCGGCTTTGCTGCATATAATGATTTTAGCACAGGCCGATTTAGCGCGATCGACCTGTCGTTAGCCTCACCATCCCTGGCCACCCGGTTAGAATGGTCTCCATTAGGGGACCCCCACCTGAGTGACCACTTTCCGATAGTGTTGAGGAGTTCCGTCTCGAGAGGAGTATATCACACTCCTACGAAGTGGAGCCTGAAGCGTGCGGATTGGGAGCTTTTCTCTGCGATGGTGTCGGCACCTCAGTTAACAGGGGATGTCGACACGGATCTCCTCCTCTTTGAGCAGGAAATCAACCGCGCTGCAGGCAGATCCATCCCCAGGACCGGCGGGTCTACTTGTAGGCCACCGGTTCCTTGGTGGAGCGATGCCTGCAGCCGTGCACACGCGGTGAAGAAGCGAGCATTCCGGCGGTTTAGAAGACATCCGACGGAGGAGAACCTTGCAAACGTTAAAGTAAAAAGGGCTAGAGAGAGGCGTACCTTGTCCCAAGCCCAAAAGGACAGCCTGGCGAGGTATGTATCTGAGATGACCTGCCACACCTCCGCCAGAGAAGTATGGGAAAGGGTCAGAGCACTCACTGGCCGATCCAGATCTCCGTCGGTACCGATATTGACCACCGAACGCGGGAGTGTGACGGAAGCCTCGGAGGTTGCTGAAGAACTGGCGCGGCATTTCACCGCGGTGTCCAGTTCCGAAGCATATTCTGATACCTCCCGACAAAGGAAAACAGAGACTTCGGCGGCGGTACCAGTGAAGCGTACAAAATGCCTCTGACGATGGGAGAGTTCGAGTCCGCGTTGGGGCGAACCCGGAATTCAAGCCCCGGGTGTGACGGTATCTCATATGAGATGCTTCGCCACCTTCCCCAGGGTGCGAAGAGGCGCTTGTTGGACTTGTTCAACAACATATGGGATTCGAGCTCTTACCCCGATCGTTGGCGAGAAGCGCTTATCATACCTATTCTTAAAGAGGGTAGGGATCCAAGCCTGGCTACGAGTTACAGACCGATTTCGTTGACAACCTGCTTGAGCAAAGTCCTGGAGTCTATGGTGAACGGTCGTTTGCCTTGGCACCTGGAGACAAAGAGATTTTACAGCCAGTATCAGGCGGGATTCCGTAGGAATCGCTCTGCGGTGGATCATGCATGTCATCTCGAGGGCGACCTTCAGGACACGTTCTTGAACAGAGAGCACGCTCTGGCCGTGTTCTTCGACCTCGAGAAGGCGTATCATACGACGTGGAGATACACGATACTACGGAAATGTCACGATTTCGGTCTAAGAGGCAAATTGCCGCGGTTCATCCGGAGTTTCCTGGAGAACCGTAGGTTCCGAGTCAGGCTGGGAACTGTGCTCTCTAGGGATGTGTCGCACATAATAGAGGCGTGTAATGCCTTGGCTCCATACAGAGAGCGTGTAGGCATGCCGCCGGATTTAAGAAGAGCACGGTAGAGACTTTCATGTCCCGTGGCGAAGAAGTCATTGACTTTATCGCGTCCAATAATGTAGAATTGTTGAACACGGAAGAATCCCCTATGACCTTTTGCAACGTACATGGAAAATCAGCCATCGACTTAATGATGGTAAGCCCTGATCTTCTGTCGCTGGTCTCAAATTTTAATATAGACAATGATGCTACCCACAGTGATCATGCATGGATCACACTAGAAATAACCCAAGCAAATTCCTTCGTGACAAAACGTAAAAGAAAGCGCATAAAACTAGATGGAATATGTAAAAAAGCCTTAAAAAGCGTAGTTCAGGGAGAACTAATTGTGAGAAGTCCTGAACTCCTATGGCCTGCAAAAACGCAGGATGAAATTGACGCGAAAGTGGCCATAATCTCCACAATTTTGGGACATCATGTCAGATATCTTGAGACTAGAGCGAACAACAAACGTGAAATTGCATGGTGGGATGACCATCTGTCTGAACTCAAACACAGGTCTCTTCGAGCTAGGAAGGAGTACCAGAGCTGCAGAGAACCAAGTGTTAGAGAACAGCTAAAGCTGTCGTACTATGCGGCAAAAAACAAATTTAAGAAGCAACTCAGAAAAAAGAAAAGACAAAGCTGGAAAAACTTCGTGGAAGAAGAGCGTACCAGCCCATGGGGCCTTCATACCAGGATTGTTTTTGACAAACTCTGCCGTAGACCGGTCACAACCACGTTTAGAAATACTCCTCCAGATTTTAGAAAGAATGGTGAGTTGCTTCTTGAAAACGCCTTTCCCAGGGACGATGTTTCGGAGGATTCCTTGCGTCACTCTGATGTGAGGAAAGCCGCTGGAATATCTATTTCTCCTCCACATTGCGAACCTTGGTCGTTTGGTGAACTCACTAGTGCTATTAGGAGGTTGCGAGGTGCTGGAGCCCCAGGATGGGATGGCGTCGAAGCTAAAATTATTAAAGACACTTTCCCTGTCACATCAGAATATCTGCTTCAATTGATGACAGATTGCCTTGAAGTGGGCTATTTTCCAACTGCGTGGAAAAAGGCCTTAATTTGCCCAATTTTAAAGTCCGGTAGACCCCCAGACCAGACTAGCTCCTACAGGCTCATTTCCCTACTGCCTACAGTGGGAAAGGTACTGGAGCAAATGATGCATATGCGGTTAAAACAGTCAATAACCCTGCACCCCATGCAATTTGGTGGCATAGAGGGTAAATCAACGACGCACGCAATAACAGAACTTATGATGGCTGTAGAAAATTCAACCCACAAATATGTAGTAGGTCTGCTCTTCGATATCAAAAAAGCTTTTGATAACATGTGGTGGCCAGCCCTCATAAGCTGTTTGAAACAAAGGGATGTTCCGAGGGATGTTTGTCGTCTCCTGTGGAGTTACCTGAGTCAAAGACTCGTCAACTTGGAATCTTATGATGTAAGTTGTACGAGGGAAGTGACCATGGGGGTACCCCAGGGATCAGTATTGGGACCATTTCTTTGGAATATACAATTCAACGAGGTTGTTGAAAGGCTAAACGGAAACGGCATGAAAGGAATTGCCTATATAGATGACCTTGTTGTGCTGCTAGAGGCTCCAACAAAAGCACAATTGGAAAGATCTGGTGCAGAAGCCGTGCGGATAGTACAACAATGGAAATATGAAGTCAAGCTTGATATAGCTCACGAAAAAACAGCCCTGGTACTACTGAAAGGGAAATTAAACCCTCGAAGCCCTCCAGTGATTAGAATAGAAGGGAAGACAGTAAAATGTGTGAACCGCCCTCCAGTGATTAGAATAGAAGGGAAGACAGTAAAATGTGTGAACCAGGTCAAATACCTTGGAGTTACCATAGGCAGTTACCTGAGTTTTAGAGAGCATGTCAAGCTGACCAAGAGTAAGGCGTGTTCCAGGTTTGCTGCGGCTAAATCTATATGCGGAGCAACATGGGGCATAAGCTACAGACATAGGCTGGTTATGTATAAGGCAATAAGTGTCTCTATACTGACCTACGCCTGCCCTGCATGGGGTAGAAATTTAAACACGAGCACCTTGCAGCACTTGATTACTGCTCAAAGAAAAGCAGCTCCCACACTATCCGTCGTCCTCCTTCTCCTTGGTTAAACGACGAAATTAGAGCACTAATCAAAAGACGGGAAGCTGCAAGAAGGCGCTTTCGTCGAACCAAACTTCCTGAAGACCACTCTTCCTTCCGAGCCCTTCGCAATAAAACCCAATCCTATATCCGTCGGGCCAAAGCCCTTCANGTAAGAACAAGATATGATAAAGTTTATGAAATGGCCATACCTCCCCACCTGAATGTTTAACATCCCTTCGAGCCGCCTCCGCGAGGCTCCGCGAGGCCCATCCTGGACACAGTCGAATTTTCGACTGTGACAAAGAGCTCGACAGGTGGGTTTGAGATGCGACCGTCAGACAAACAGTGAAAGAGAAAATTAACAAAGAAAATCAACAACAAAGAGAAGAAACAAGAACAAGATTGGGGAGAGTGAGGAACATGTATTATGATTACTATTTTTTTTTTTATTTTTTTTTTTTTTTTTTTTTTTTTTTTTTTTTTTTTTTTTTTTTTTTTTTTTTTTAATGCTCTCTCATTCTGACTCCAGAGTTCTATCAGCTTCCGTCTATAATAAAAAAGCAACACAAAGCTGAAAGCCAATAAACTGTAAGG